CCCCGCCGCTGCCACCGACACCGCAGCCCCTACCGCCACCCGAGGAGCCGCCACCAGTCCCAGTCCCGCCCCCGGAAGGAGTTGCCCTGACCTCGCCCCCTTGCAAGCCCCCACCGCCTCAGACGCGGACATGCCATGTGCCGCAGAGGTCCTCCGGGACAGAACACCCCACCACGGCGCGGCCCCCGCCGGCCCCCACCGCGCCCGCCGCCCCCGCGCGAGGCGGCGCCTCGTTGGAGCCGGTCGCGCAGGCCACCAGCCTGCTGCTCTCTCTCCTATCGCGGATTGCGAGCCCCGAGCAGGCCGCGGTGATCGACAAGGCGGCCAGGACCCTCAAGCGACCCACGGCCAACGCGCGGGTGTCCGCGGTGCAGGTCAAGGTGGACAGCGTGTCCGGGTGCCCCGTGCCTGAGGGCTGGTGCGGGGCGACGATGATCCCGATCAGCAGCAGGGTAGCCGTCCTCTTGAACTCCTCCCGCGACCATGCCGCCAAGACTCAGTGCCCGGTGCACCGTTACGAGACTAAGGAACTTGAAGACGGCACCCGCATCACGTTGGTGGCGGGCTCCTCCGCACCCTGGCTGATCGGTGATATGGCGGAAGAGGTTGGGACCTCCGCGTGCACCTGTGACAGCCTCACGCCCTGAGCCCTCTGGCCCGCTCCCCTCGAACGAAAACAACGTGGGTGTCATACGCAAAAAAAATTTCAAGTAATAATTAGAAAAGAACAGGAACACCCTGCGACTTAAAGTTGATATTCCGATACTATTCAGCTCCTTTAAAATACTGAACTATCCCTTGAAAGGACAAGAACATGCTGCTGCAAGTGACAATATTATACAGCGTATATAAAACAGACTTAAGAACGAACCAAACTGTATGAGAAGATCATAGTTCTGTTCAAGGTTTGTTTCCTTGCCTTCTTTCTTTCTTCATTCATTAAATTGTTTTCTATTCCCTTGTAGGAATTTGTGCTGCACAGAATATCTTTGCTGGTTTAAATAAGTTTAAAAAAATGTATGTCACAGCATCTCATAATTCATTCATTGTATTTCATAAACTATACAGCTAACATTTAGTATGGGACATTTTACAATTATGGATCAGGTATACAAAGAGCTCCTAAAACAAGGTTTTAAGCTCACATTTCTAATGTAATTCACAGATTTATAGCACTATGTTTGAGAGATGAGCAGTAACATCAATACAATGAAGCAGCCATTTATTCAGTCTTTACATCTCTACTCTTGTGGAGAACCTAGCTATTTTGAGCATAAGACAAAGTCGGGTCTCATGACTCATGACAAAATTTGTTGGTGAGTTTTTGTATGTTTGAATGACACAACTATAAGTAGAAGTACCAAATCAACTTAAGAGGTTCCCAAAATCATCATAAAAGATAATGTATTGCCGATATCTGCTTCAGAGTATTACGTTACAAATACTTAGACACATACACACTCAGTACAATAAGGTTTGATGAAGGGGTTGGGATGATTACACATACCTGACAATTTATAGTTTTGCATACTGTGAATATGATATGGAAATATTAGTTAACAATGTAAAGAACTTCCTGCCTCATCAGATAAAAACAATGTCAATATTAATGAAAATTCAGGCTGTATTAAGTGTTTCTCAATACATATTTCTAGTTGACATTTATAGAGAAGTTATTTCAAATAACTGCAACAAAGAGCTGGCTAATTCCAACAGAAAATACATATCACAGGCAGTATGCAGCCGGCATATTTCTTTTCTCCCTTACAGAATACAAATAATTATTTTTCTTTCAAATATGGAGGAAAATAATTAAGAAATATGAATAAGAAATGAAAAGCTTGAGACTAAACATACAGTATATTCTTAATAATATTTTCAACACAAGTTGAAACAGTGGGCCCAATGATTCACTTCAGATACTGTTGACATACAGATTTTTCTATTGCTAAATTATACATAGGTAACCATACTAAATATTTGTGTTAAGGGAAGATGAGGCAGAGGGGCAAACTTAAAGCTGAAACCTAGCATAAACTCACTTTCAACAGTAAGCTAAGTATGAATGTAAATGGCAATGAAATCTTTTAGATTACTCTTTCTGAAAATAAATGATTCGGGTGAAACAAACAGGAGGAATGTGACATGTCCTAAAAAGCTGCAGAACATTACAATGTGGTCTTCTGAACCTTGAGCAGAGTACATAGATAGGTAGATAGACTTGATGTCAATGCAAAATGAAGCCTTAAGCAAGTATAAGTATTAAGCTTTGTATGGACATCACACTGTACTAAATATGTAATCAGATGGGAAAAAGATAATTTTCCTAATGTACTTTGATGATAAGATAGATGAAGTTAAGCAGATGGGCAGCAGTCACACCAAATTCATTAAGACAGTAATTTGTTTTTACATTAGCCATAAAAATCATCACTGACCTAACGCCAATGACCCAAAGTTGATCTTTCAATATTTTACACCTACACTTACACACATTTTGGTGTATCTTTCACAAACACTTTTTCATGAAATGTGCAAGAACCAATACTTTAAGTGGTTTCAAATAAGTAACCAAAGAATGACTTTGAAGAAACCAGGTTGCTTGGAATGCAAATTAAAATGATAAATGAAATTTGACTCAAAACAGTACAATTGAAGAAAAAATAATTTCTAAACCAACTATAAAATATTTTTCTTTGCAGTAAAAACAAAAAAAGCACCTATCACTTTGTGAAACCTGTAGTGAGACCCAGTTTGCTATCAAACTGAAGGCCCAGGTGGTTATCAATAATCTGGAAAAGCTCTGGGGGCTGTGGAATTCGACCGGTCTCCAATTTAGACCACACTGGCATATCTGAAAAGACAAAATAATTAATACTGGTAAATGTAAAAAAATATACAAAACTAGATGTTTCTTTAGTTTTATGATAGCTTGCTATTTCCAGTTCGGCATCTCACTTACCATCAAGAGAAATTTCAAAAGCTCCTGTTGACATCATTTGACCCTCAATCGCGTTGGTAAGGAAGAAACACATGAGGCACGAGTAAACCTTGTTTTCCACACACCATGTCCACCAGCCTGGTGGAGGAGCATTTGCATTTCCAAAGAACCGGAACGGATTGGTTCCAGTCATAATAGCAAACATAATAACCATTTTTGCTATGCTCTGTAGAAAAAAAAGGAATTGGAAATTTATTTATGAAATGGGAAATCAACAAATAAAACAATTAAAATGATTTAAGATTGAAGAAAAAAAACTCATACCAAAAATCGAGCAAACTGGAGAGACAATCCCGGGGGATCATAGTTAGCACCAAGGACAGAGATCTCAGGGTACTTTTGCTGGATAATGTTGACATAGTCGTCAAAAACTTTTCGGTAGCCACAGGAATAACTGAAAACAGAATAAAAATACATTTTAAAAAACAGTAATTAGACGAGGACAAAGGAAAAAATATTGTGTCTACGGCAGCAAACTGCTTATAAATTGACATGAGAGGAGAGGGCAGATTAGAACAAACAAGTAATTTATGAAAGTTTTGACACTAATGAAATGTCAAAGTAGTAGGATCCAACCTACACTTAACATGTTTGACTAGATGTACGAGTAAAAAGGAGTCAGGAAAAACAAAAGATTTCAACGATGCTCGACAAATTCAGAGGGATTAATAATAATAAATGGTAAATCTAACGTAAATTCCACGTTTATGCAAGTAATGTCAACATGAACGTGATGATTGCGCACTTACCAATAATGGAATCTTAGAGTTGGACCAACGTTTTTAAATCCTGCTTTAGATATGGTAGGAATTTCTTTTTCACTCGAGGAGTCCGCAAACAGACCTATATCCCGAATAGATAAACCTACACATAACATAAAGAGAAATACATAAGAAAATCTCGCTATGTCAGCCATTTTCGTTGCTTGTCTCGCCTCGTCTGTCGGCACTCTCCAGCAGACAACTTTTTTCTGTTATGAAAAACGAGTAAGACAGAGCAGTACAAGAAATTTCTAAGGCGGAAAATTGTCTCTTTCTCCTTTCCCGTCACGTTCTAGAAACGGAAAGAAATGCAGGCTCTTCAAACGAGACATTTTTTTTATTACAAAAATATCAGAAGCAACTGACAATCCTTAACGGTACGTGAGAGACTGCAATATTATCGAAGCACTGGCACTCTCTCAAAGCTAACGAAATGAAGAAGAAGACGAGTGCTTACACTCCTTCAACAAAACCAACAAAACACTGTCGCTCCTTCGCGTTGCGGTTCGGCACGACGACGTGCCTCTCTGTTGTGTATTTTACAAATTGTATCAAAAAATGTCGAAAATGGCAGGAAGAGGTCCCTCAAGCCGTGTTGTGGAAACAGACACGCCCATCGCCTATGTACAAATGGATGGATTGGTATGTTGATGTACTGTGAACTTTATATTTTTGTATGAACTTAAATGTCAACTGACTTGGCCGTCTTGTTGCAGGCGATGATGAAAATCATTAAACACTGTCATGAAGAGAGTGCAGGAAATTTGAAAATGGCTCAAGGTGCTCTTCTTGGTCTGGTCGTGAAAAATCGTCTTGAAATCACAAACTGCTTCGCCTTCCCAAAGAATGATGAATCAATGGACGAAGGTATGGCCCATTAGGTTAGGTTTTGGTAGGTTAAGTCGCCTTGTAACATATTTTCGTTTACTATAAGTTCCGCGGTCGATTTCGTTACAGAGGAGTATCAGTTAAACATGATGAGGCGACTGCGACGAGTCAATGTTGATCATTTCCATGTGGGCTGGTATCAGAGTTCGGATGTGGGCAATTTCCTCAGCTTGTCGCTTTTAGAAAGTCAGTTCCACTACCAGACCTCTATCGATGAGTCAGTAGTTGTTATCTACGGTAAGGAATTTATGATCTATTCTCTCTTACCGTCTTGTCTCCTCGTTTACTCATACCATGTCTTGCTCCAGACACTGCTAAAACTGCCCGTGGGTTTTTGACATGCAAGGCTTACCGTCTTACGCCACAAGCCATTAACATGTACAAAGAGGGGGAGTTTACACCAGAGGCTTTGCGTAACCTTAAAGTTGGTTTTGAAACCTTGTTTGTGGAAGTTCCTGTTGTTGTAAAGAACTCTCTGCTAACCAATATTATGCTTACCGAAATTGATGAGATGGTACCTGAAGATGAAGGAACCAAATTCCTTGATTTGGGCACTGCGTAAGTTTTAGTTAATTTTAATGTCTAGTACACTATTTATTTCAGGACACAAAAGGTGTACTAATGTGCTGTTTGTTTTCAGATCTGTATTAGAGGGTCAATTGAGAAGTATGATGGACAGGGTTGATGAGCTGAACCAAGAAGCTATCAAATTCAACCGCTTCCAAGTCCAAGTCATTAGGCAACAGCAAGACAAGCATCGTTTCACCCTCAAGAGGGTCAGTAATCAGTACAAAATTAGGAAGTTATGGAGTAATTGAAGATAAAAAGATTTTCTATTTGCTTATCTTGATTATCTTTTCTACAGGCTCAAGAAAATGCAGCTCGTTCTGCCAAGGGTGAACCACCTCTTCCAGAGGAAGACCTATCGAAACTGTTCAGGCCAATTCCAGTGCCTCCTCGTCTCAACCCTATGATCATTGCTGGACAGATCAGCACTTACAGCCAGCATATCTCTCAATTCTGCTCTCAATCACTCGCCAAGTTATATATCACCCAATCTCTACAGCAAGCCAAAGAGAGCGCTAACAACTAGGCAAACTGTTATACTTGTCATGCGTGTGATACACATTCACCCTATGGACCTTTATCTTGAATGAATCCAGAAGGATTCTTAATTTCAGTTCAATGAAATTGTCCTGAAGAACTTCTGCCACCATCCTGTTAAATTTGGTCTCATGGAATTCGCATTTTCATACTTTTGCTTGGTTTCTTTTTCTATCTAAATACAAAGCAAATGGTGTTTTAATAACTGCCTTGTATGTATCAAATTTAAATTTGTTTCTCAGAATTGTGTCATTTTGTATTTTTGTGGATTATGATGCCAAGTACATGTATTTTACTCGGCACCATCATACTTTTTTACAAGCTATCGAATTGTGCTGCTGTTAAAATTTTGTATCAGCTACTGTATCAGTAAATGAGGAAAGAAAAACATCTTACCAATTTCTATTAATTTTTATTCCCTTTCCATTCACTTACATGCAATTTAATTGAAAGCTTTTTCTTCATGGAATTGAATCTAGAAGGTTCTATGGAAGCAAAATTTAGCAACTATATATGTTTAACTCACAGAAATCAGAATTAGGTTGTGATTCAGTTTCATTAAAATCCAATTACAGCATGAAGTTCAATTTTGCTTGGGCAAGTATTTTTATCACATCAATGTGCGTGTCTATTCTAGCAACATGTCCTTCTACAGGATTCAGTTATTTTAACATAAACAATGACATTTAAATGGTAAAATCTTTGCATTTACTAGCATGTCTCATCTCATTCAGAAAGTTTGAGACCAAATCAACCACATTTCTAAAAACTGCATTGTGATCAAGTAAATCTATTCACCGTTTAACAAAGACTAGATTTGTGCGTTAATAGCTCACATAATGAATAAAGCATATATGGGTCATTTTGATAACACATAAAGAATGATATGATTACATTGTGATAACATGTTGATAAGCTGTACATGCTCTAGGAGCTTTAACATTGACTAGTTTCAGAAATGCTGTCTAGCATGCATGCTACTTGAATAACAATGTTGTTTTCTAACAACATACACTTATGCATTGCCTCTACTTCTGAGCGACAGTATTTTCTTTTCTATGGTAACTCACAATTCACAATAATTAACTAACTTCAATAAATAAAGACTTGACAGACAACAAAAACGCTGTTAAGTCAGTAAACTAAATTGCAATAGGGTAACAAAAGAGCAAACAGCTCAAGATTTTGGGTTTGAAAAAAACAAACAACCCAAACTTTCTATGAAAACATAGTAACATTAATATATGAAACAAATATTGAAACTATTTTGTACTTAAAATGTTTCTAACAAAATTGTTCTATTTTCCTAATATAAATGCTTTAGGCACAAAGCCCATTGAAAAAAATTTGAACACTAATAGAATAGTTATAGAAACAGGTATAAAGAAGACATCTAAGGACACTCTTATAAAAAACACATCTAAACACAGACAACTCACAAAAATTCCAATAATATTGGTTTCTATTAATAATTGTTTATATTTTATGTAATAATAATAATTGATTTAAAAATGTGAAACACACACATCCAACCATAATATCCCTTGTAGCACCAAACATTCAGACAACGTTCTGAGAATGTTCTTTTGTTTCTCTGAAGGTTCCGTAAACGTTCTAAGAACGATATGTGCTACAAGGGTATGAGACCTCAACAGGAATGCTTGACCAAATATAGTGATAATAACAACATTCTCTATGCAGAAACAATTGGTATAAAGAAGAAGTAACAGGTGAAGATCACTTTAATTTCCTAACAGCTGCAAAGGAGAACTATCCTGCAAGCCAAACTGACTTTTTAAAAAAATAATAAAAATAAAATGTTTGTA